TCTTATCTGGAAAGACCTCATGTATAAAGTGAGAATTATGACCCTCACCTGCCTCCCAGGTCTATTGTGGGTATCTGGTGAAATAAGAATGGACTGTCCATGTCTGCCTGACAGCTGTGACGAGGCCCCAGTGACAGACCTTGTAGGCATGGGCTATGTGTTGCTTTTACTATGGGGGTGAGGCCACCCCATAGACCCAGGTGGGAGGCTACTTCTACTCTGGGGGTTCCCACTCTCCCAGTCTGCACAGGGCTCTGCCTTCCCAGGGAGGCTGACCTCCGAAGAAAAGGTGCCACAGGAAAGTTCCCTATGGTCCTGGAAGCCAGGAAAGCACGTGGAGGGCACACAGGGTCCAGAGTGAAGGTTCTGAAGTTACACAGACCCATTTGGTAACCTTGGCTCTGCCACTTTCTAGCTGTCTGACATTAGGCAAGTCCTGAGCCTCAGTTTCCTCATTTACAAAATAGGGACTAATTGCGGTACCCACCTCTTAGGTATGGTGTGACAGTTAATGGAGATAATGCATGTAAATCAGCTAGCGCGGTGCTTGGAATTCACTAAATACTCAGCAAGTGTGTGTTTACCCCACACCCCTAAAAGGCTAAGTGGGGAATGGGGCCCTTAGCGCTTTGGAGGTAACTCAGAAACTTTGAGTCCAGAGATTTTCATCCTGGATGCTGAGTCCCTGAGTTGGTTTTCTCATTTCACAAAGTTCGTCAGGACTCACAGGGCCTCTTGACGAGGGTGCCTTGACTGAACAATAACTGCTTTCGGCTGAAATTCCAGCAGGTTCCGCGGGCCTCGCTGACCCTGTCCTGATTACCCCTAGATTAATAACAAACACGGCACATGAGTTATTCCTTTAAAAGTAGGGTTTATGTGGGAGATATAAAACTCTCCAAACGGGCTGAGGCAGAAGGAGGAGGAGATCGAGGAAGGGGGTGTCCTCCCAGGGAAGCCGTGGACACCAGGCGAGCTGGTCCTGCAAGGCCGAGACTGCCCTTGCAGAGACCCAGCATGGGGACGATGGTGTGGGTGGTGGCCAGCCCTGCTAGCTCGGGGTGCACTGTGGCCCATGGCAGGCGGCCCAGACCACCCACCAGAAAGAGGCCCCGAGGCTGAGTGGCCCCAGGCCTGAATGGGGGCAGCCCTGCCCTGCAGCCTTGGGGGCAAATCATGATGGGAATGTCTGAACCTCCTCAGTCCCTAGATCCCCAGCCCGGGCTGGCTCCAGAGCCAAACCTTCCCCAACCCCTCATCCCCTGCAGGCTCCAGACATCCCCCCCTGGCCAGCCCCATCTTCCCAGCGGCTCGCTCTGCTAAACTGCCTGCACGGTGTGTGCCTGCAAATGAGACACTGTGTCTCTTCCACCGGGGCCGCACACAGAACTTCCTGAAACCTGGTGGGGCCAGGGTGGTGGCCACAGGGAAGCAACTGGTTTTCTGGAGGGGAGGGACCAGGGGGTCTCACGCTGGTGGCAAGAGGTGACAGGGCTATCTGGGGAGCTCTAAACTCTGGTCAGGTTGGTTCTGAATGCCATAGGCTGTCAGAGCTGAGAGCACCCCTCTCAGAAGGCAGAAACACTTCCCAGGGAAGCCAAGGAAGGGGCAGGACTTGCCCAAGGCCACACGGGATGCATAGCAGAGCTGGGAAGAAGCTTGTTGTTCCTGCAAACGCACCAGGCACCTGCTGCAGCCCGTGGCCTCCCTGTTGGACAACATCACCAGACATTTAATCCTCACCCCTGTGCATCCTCTATCCCACACGGTGGCCTCAGCTGCTGGACAGCCGAAGATATTTGCTCTTAGTCCAGAGGGTCTAGAGGGGGCTCTGGGGGGCATTGAGGGTGCACGGGAAGGTGGCCTAGCTCTAGCCCAGGGCCCCGGCCCTCCTGCCACTGGGTCCTTCCTAGCAGCCCTTCCCAAACAGACCCAGGGGCTCAACTTGGACCCCTGGCAGCTTCACAGGTGTACTGGAAAGACTGGGGCTGGAAGAGTAGCCACGAGAACATGTCCAGCCCCATCACTGTCTCGAGCAAGTTGCTGCTCCTCTTGGACCTCAATTATCTCATCCAGCAAATGGGAGTGGACGCTGGAGAGGATTTCTAGAGGGCAGTTTCTGGCACAGCATCTCACCCAGAAATATGCCTCAACTTCTCTCTTCTGCCAACCTGCCCTCCCCACAAATCTCTCCTTGGATTGGGCCGGGACCAAGCATGAGTGGAGCAAATTATTTTGTGCACAAAATGATTCCCTCCAAATCCTGATGGGGGGGGGGGGAGACCTTCAGTGAATCCCTGTCCCCAGACCTGCAGCTTTACCAGCCCAGGCAGGGAACAGGGCCAGATCGGGTTGGAGCAGTGCAGCAGCAGCTGACCAGAGCAGTGGGGCGGGAGGCATGCAGCCAGGCCAGCTGGGAGGTGCAGAGGTGATGGTCGGGGCCAGGCTAGAGAGCTATGGGGCTGGGGCTGGGGCTGGGGTTATTTTTAACTCAGCTTAATTTTCTCTACCTGGAAACCAACTCTTGCCGGTGGGGTAGCGCTGTTCCGGGAACGCTTTCACCCCCTAGGATCTGAGCTCGCTCAGGTTCCGGGCCTGCCCTCTCCATTTCATAGGAGCCCTGTTTGCCCAGCTCAGGGCAGGAGAGGAACTGGAGCCAGGCACAGCTCCCTGCACTGACCCCACGAGGCCCAGGCGGTGGCCCCTGCCCTGTCTTCCTCCTTTCACACCAGAGACGGATCCTGTCTCCTGGTCCGTTTAATTCTTCTATTATGTTTCCCAGACTCAGAGCCTCTGGTTCCCTATTGTCCTGAGCAGCACTTTGCGTTTGTGTAAAGATTAGACGCAGTGGAACCTTCACTCTCCTTCCAAATGGTCTTTCTCTTTTACTTTCTCAAATCCGAGTTCTTTCTCTCGCGCTAGGCTCTGCTTCCTTGTCCTCCCTCTCTCCCTACCTGTCTTTATCTGATTCCCTGTTTGTTTTCCTCACCACCCAGACCCCCTCCTGCTCCCTGCTGACCTGCTTGTTCTCCTTTCTTCTCTTCATGGTTCAGTAGTTTGAATTCTCTATCCACCCCCTGCCCCCACCCGAACCCTGCTTGATTTCGTATTTATATTCTCTCGGAGGCTAATAGAAATGACTAGGAGTATTGCTCACCTCATTCCAGAAATACTCTTCTAAATTCTTAGAGAGGCACCTTGCAGGGGAGGGCAGTGAGCACTGCGTGGGGAGTCTCTGTTTTTTGCTGGAGAGACCGGGAGACCAAGATCTGAGACCTGAGTCCCTGTGCCAGCGCTGTGCAGACTGGACCAGGCAGGGCTCTTCTCTGAGCCTTCATTTCGGCTTGGACAGTAGGGGAGCTGATCCCGGATGGTCACAGCCGCCTCCCAGGGCCACAATGGAGAGGAGTTGAAAAGGCTCTGAGCACGCAGTAGGTGCTCAGAAATGTTTATTCCTGCTTCCATTGCAACCTGATCCAGCCGGGGGGAAGGAAGGTAACTCCAACGGCTATCTCCGTCCTCAGGTCCCGTCCCTCTGCACCAGGATGGCACAGGCACACGCAGACACACGTATGTGCTCTGGTCTTGCCCTAGGAAGAAGCCAGCTCACCTGTTTCTCTGTGGTCATCTATTGCCCCCTTCATAGACATCTAACGACAAAACTGCTGCTGAACACAAGAACTAAAAATTGAGCAGCCTGGGTTCCTGGGGACGTAAATTTCCGCGGGTTCAAAGCCAGGCATGTATTCATTCACTCCCCCCTCCCTCAGAGAGCACTCGCTCAGAGGGCTCCTACTGTGTACCAGGCAGGCTCCCGGGCCCCGCGTTCTCTGGAGTTCTGGACCTCAAGATTGCTGGAGAGATAAGCCCAAAGTCATGAGTCAGGCAGGCTGGAGAGTAAGGCTCTGGGAGTTCCGAGAAATGAGAAGGCTTTTCCTGTTGTGCCTGGAGACAGGGTCCCTGGAAGACATTGCAGGAGGTGGACTCTGAGCCAGGCTGGGCCAGGAACAGAGGACGACTGCCAGTTCCACCAGCTGCTTAGCTCAGCACGGGCGCATCCCCACTCTGTCTCCAGCAAGACCTGGCTTCTGAGAAGCAGAATGCTCGCCCCCGGGGCACACCCCCCATTGCCTAGCCTTTTTTTTTTTTTTTTTTTTTTTAATGTTTATTGATTTATTTTTGAAAGAGAGAGTGTGAGCAGAGGGTCAGAAAGAAGGGGACAGAGGATCCCAAGCAGGCTCTGCGCTGACAGCAGCGAGCCTGACGCAGGGCTCGAACTCACAAACTGTAAGATCATGACCTGAGCCACCCAGACGCCCCTGCCTTGCCTTTTGTGAAGAGAGTACCCACCGAGGTGAACCAAGCACCCTGCCATGTCCAAGGTGGGAGACCTTTCAAGGAGTGCTTTATATGTGTGCCCACAGGGGCAATAGGAGCCTGAAAAGGAGCCAGGACTCCCATCCCCAGGCCCTGGGAGGAGGGATGGGGAAGGAGGGAAGAGGGGCACTTCCTGGGTGAGGTAAGGATGAGACAGCTCTAGGCTGGTCAGAGGCCAGGGGTGGGTTGTGTCCTTCACTGAGGAAAGCAGGCCCAGAGAGGGCTCTGACCTGCCCAAGGCCACACAGCCTTGAGTACCCCCTTTCCCCTCCCACACAATAGAAAGGGCATCCTCAGCCTTGTTGGCAGTAAGCAGGCAGGACGGCAGGGTGCCTTCCAAGGAGAGAGAGGGTTCTGCTCATGGGCCTCCCCTCCCCAACTCTTAGCTCTGGGCAAGACCCATGGGACAGCCACACAGAGAGTGAGGAAGGGGACTCGGAGCACTTTGGGGATAACTTGAGGAAGCCCAGCAGGACCGGGAGAGGTCCCTGGGGGCCGCAGGGGCGCTTCAGTACTCCAGGAGGTGCTCCAGGCACAGAGGGAGGAGCGGGGCCTTCCCTCCCGCCTCCGCCCTCCCCTGCCCCCCTCCCCTCCAACCGCGGAGGCCGGGGCGGGCCAGGCGCCTGGGGAGGAGGCGGTGTCCCTGGCTCTCCTGTGCGGCAGGGCAGGGCTGGTCGGGCAGGGGCGGGGCTGTGCCTGGTGTTATAAGAAGCAGCCAGGGCACTGAGGCAATGAGCTATCGGCTCTGCCTGGCAGCAAGACGCTGGCAACGGGCACGCTCCCTGCTCTGGTCCAGCCTGTGCGCTCCACCGCCACTATGGTCGCCATGCCCACCGCCTGGTGCTCCATCGCCCTGGCCCTGCTCCTGGCCCTGCATGAAGGTGAGCTGCCCTAGCCTCACCTGCGGCGGCAGCGCCCTCCCGCCCCCACCCTGGGTCTGCTTGCAGGTGTCTCCTGCCCCAGGGCACCGTATACCCGCAAGCCAGCTGGGGGGCATCCAGGGGTGGGGGCCCCGCAGCAGTGGCCGCTTCAAGGGGCTCTGCAAGGCAAGAGGTGCTGCAGGCACAGGACAGCCACCAGCCCTTCCCACCAGGACTGCTGGGGCTTCCCCTGGCTGGCCTGGAGCTCCTAAGCAACGAGAATGCCAACTTCCTCAATTATGCAAGAGGAGGAGCCCGGCGGGTCCCCCTATCCCGCTGTGCCGGGCACCCCGACCCACCTGTCCACCTCTGTCCCCCTCCTGTGCGTGCAGGCAAGGGCCAGGTGGCTGCTGCTCCGGACCAACCAGCACCCTCACACCGCGCCCGAGCCTCCCACCTGCGGCCTCGACGTTGCTCCTGCAGCTCCTGGCTCGACAAGGAATGTGTCTACTTCTGCCACCTGGACATCATCTGGGTGAACACTCCCGGGTGAGCTACCGCGGGGATCCAGGCGGGGCCGCTAGAAGCGGGGCAGGGGATGGGGAATCTCTGGCACACCCTGGGCCTCCAGACGGGATCATTGAGCTAATATTAATAGTTACTGGTTATCGTTCCAACGCCCACGTGGGGAATGCCTAAGTAATCCAGGGCTGGCTCCTGAGAATTCTCACGGCAGCCCGGTAGGAAAGTATTGGCTCCATTCTCCAGATCAGGGTACCGAGGCTCAGAGAGGTTGGGTGCCTTCCCCGGGATTACACAGGAGGGAATAAATGGTACACAGAGGCTCCATCCCAGGCCCATGGATGCCATGCTGCCTCTGCATGATCTTCCAAGAATAATACGATTAATGACAGTGCCCGTGTCTCGGCTGTGCCAGGCCCTATGCCAAGCACTGCTCGTATGTTATCAGCTCCTGAATCCCTCATCCTCCCCATGAAGCAGGTAGTGCTGTTGTCCCCAGTGACAAGACGAGAAACCTGCCCTGTGTCACCTGGCAGAGCTGGGGTGGGAGCCTAGTGCTGTCTGTTCTGTCTGCACCCGCACTGCCTCCGGGCCACTGCATACTTCAAGTTGAAGTTTCTGTGTGTGTGTGTGTGTGTGTGTGTGTGTGTGTGTGTTTGTGTTGTTTTTTTTTTTTTTTCCCTTCCCCAAATTGCAAAAGGCAAGAGAAGCCCTGCACGTAAGCGTGTGTGGAGCTAATCCGCATCCAAACACTTGCTCAGGGCGGGAACCCTGCCAGTCCCTGCGTGCCGGGTCCACCTGGAGTCATTACAACCCCAACCGCATCGTCTAAAATTAGCTCTGGCACCTGAAGGTGCTGGTCCAACCGGCCACAGGGCCCCTGCCCCCAGCCCGCCTTGGCCAGACTTTCAATCTGAAACCGACCCCACCTGATCTCACACATGCACATGCACACACAAGCACATGCACACACCGTTTTTAGGTCAAAGCGCTCAGACACATTTATCAGCCCTCCAGGCAGGTGGTGGCCAGGTGAGGGCAGCTTAGCCTGCGTGTTTACTGCTGTGAGATGGTATTTTCTCCTCTCCTCCAGGGGGACTAGCAAGGCTCCATCCTTCAGCTCGAGTTCCTAGCCGTGAGAGGGATCGGGCTGGGGGGACGCCCCACTTCCTAACTTAGGGAGAGAGCACGGTTCCACCCCATCCTCCCCATGCTGGCAGTCTTACTGAGCAGGGCCAGAGGCGGGGAGCAAGCAGAGGCCCAGAAAGGGGAGGGACGTTGTCCGGGACCACCTGGCACCCGGGCAGAAGAATGCACTGAGGCTTCCCGAGGTCAGGGGCTGGCAGCCTTCTGCTTCCAGCCCGGTGGCACGGGTGGCCATGCCAGTATGCACCGCGGACGGCCTCTGCTTGCCAGTGGCCGTAGTTTATCTCATCCTCTCTCCCTCTCCCTCTCTCCTCCTCTCTCTCCACCCTACACCACTACCTTGCTGGCTGCCCGCCCACAGACAGACAGCTCCTTACGGCCTGGGAAATCCGCCAAGACGCCGGCGCCGCTCCCTGCCAAAGCGCTGTGAGTGCTCCAGTGGCAGGGACCCCGCCTGTGCCACCTTCTGCCATCGAAGGCCCAAGTAAGTGCACACCCAGGCTGCAGAGGCCAGGGTGGCTGCTAGCCTGGACCTGGAGAGCAGGGTGTCTGGAAGATCAGCAGGAGAGCAGAGTGGCTAACAATGGTGGGGGGGGTGGGGGTGGGGAGGACAAGGTCCTGGGGGCCCATAGGCTGCCCTGGGCCCATGGGGCATGTCCCTTTCTGTGGGGAACCAGTCACCCCAAGTCCCTCCTAGTCCCCAGCTCCGGGGTCTTCTGAGAGCTCCCACCCTCACTCGGGGGCAGGAGGGATTCTCCTCCGGTGTCAGCTAAAGCAGTCCAGGCCCAGAGAAGGGAGGGGACTTGTCTCATCGGGTCACACAGCTAGTCAGAAGGAGAGCTGGGCTTTCAGCCTTAGTCTGCCTGACCAAGTCCACGGGGATTTGGATTTGGGACGGAGCCTCGGAGGGCTTTGGAGTTTCCGCAGAGAAGTGACATCTGGAGTCGGGAGGCCCTGGCACCATCCCAAGGTTGTCACGGAATTGCTGAGGAAGGGGCGGGCGGGGGTGCTCTGCCACACCTCTTCGCTCTCCGCACCTCAGTTTTCCCATCTGTTAAAGGGGTGGGGGACTTTATCCCCTCCCTCGTCCCCTCGGAGCATTTGGGGAAAGCAGAAAGTGGCTTCCCCGTCTCGAACCTCCCATCCCCGCGATGGTTTATGAGAAACTCCTCCTCTGAGCCTCAAACCGGGGCTCCACCCCTGCCTCAGTTTCCCCTACAAAAGGCCGTGCTCAGCTGCAGGTGGCTGGATTCTGGGAAGGTCGGGCACCCAGCTGCCTCTTTCTGAGGCTAAGAACGTATTCCCGGTAGCTCAGTTTTCCTCAGTCCCCACCCCTCCTGGGAAAGGAAGGAGGCCAGGTGCACAGGGGTAGAAATGGATCTGCTGGGGCAGAGGGAGGGTGCTGGGCCTACAGCCAGGTGTTCTCAGGGCCCTGGACAGCCCCTCACTCGGGCCCTAACGCTGTTCCTTCAGGCCTGAAGCCGTGGTGGTCCCAGGCAGTGGACCCCCTCCAGACGTGTTCCAGGCTGGCAGGACACGGCCGTCGGCAGGAGAGCTCCTCCAGCAGCTGAGGTGAGCGGTGCCCCCACTGACTGAGCACCTCCTGTATGCCTTAGCACATTTCCCTTGTTCTCCATATGAGGCACGACTGGGTCCTCACTGGGCAGCCGAGAGAACTGAGGCTCAGAGAAGTTAAGACATTTTGCCCAAGGGCACAGCGGTCTGTGGCATCTGGCTGGTTCCAGAGCCTGTGACCTAGACTGCTGTGCCCTTTGTTCCCACCGGGCCTAGCAGTGGACTTTCTCAGGCGAGTTGAGGGATTGTGACCGTGGAAGGCCCTCTACTGTTCATTCAGGTTGTGTCCCAAGGAAGCATCTCCTACGTGCTGGGCCCCGAGTGGCCGACTACCCAGCCTGTCCCCTCCCCGCTGTCCCAGACCGGATCCCCTTCCTGGCCGCCTCTGCGTGGCTCAGCTCGAGGCCTGGCACACAGGAGGTGCCCGCGAATGTTCGTCCAGCCAAACTGACTTGAGAATAGAGACCCTGCATCTGGCTGTGTAGACAGGCGGCTAACGGAGCAGCTTCTGAGCCAGCTCTGTCCCCAGCAAGGCTTTGTGACCTTGAGCTTGTCATTTCACTTTTCTGTGCTTCCGGCTCCCACTTTTGTTCCAGGGGCAGCAGTGCAATCCATCTCTAGGGAATTGTTGTGAGGGTAGATGAATCGACATATGTGGGGCGCCTCGAGCAGGGCCTGGCACCCCAGGGGAGCTTTGCAGGTGTCAGCCATTCCGACCTCTGTCCCTGAGGCTCCTCGGAGCTGGCCGGTGCTGGGGCCCAGCTCAGCCCCTCAGGGCCTCCCATCTTGGTGGAGAGGAGGAAACGTAGGAGAAAGGGCAGGATGGTGGGTTGGGGAAGACGCAGCGTACGCTTCGGAAGTATCTTTGGATGAAAAGAAAATCAAGGTTTAGACTCTGCAAGTGCATATGGCACTTCCTGTGGGCAAACAGCTCGCTTTGCCAGCCTACACTCATCCTCACACTGGCTCAGGCCTATTTTCATTTTACAGACGAAGAAAGGGGCTCGGAGAGGTTGACACACCTGCCTGAGCTCCCAGAGCTGGGACCTGAAGCCAGCCTCCTAGCTCCCGGTCTGGGACACTTTGAGCCAGGACGAGACCACTTGGCTGATGCCAGAGCCCTTCCCAGGGCCTCATCCTGGTTCAAAGGGAAGCTAGGACCCATATTTGTCTGGGTTGAACTACCCTGAGCTGGACCTTGAAGAATGGGAATTTCAGTAGGTGGAATGTGGGTGGAGGGAAGGTAAACAGCCTAGAAGGAGCGACATGAGCAAAGGTGTGGACGTGGGATGGCAGGTCACAGGAGATACGCTGGTCTCGGCCCTCTGGTCCTTCCAGCAGTATTTGATGTTGGACGTCAGCTTTGTCAAAGTCCTCGTGGGCAGGGAAGCTTCTAGGCCTGGTCTGGCCTGTCCTTGATGCGCAGACTTTGTTTTCAGGGTCAGCTGTGGCTGACCTCTGACCCCAGAGCAGCTATGATTAAAGGGGCCCGTTCCTACTACTGCTGTCTCTTGCAGGGAACTCTTGGGCAGTCCATATCTCCTGAGATGCTAAATTGACCCTTCTTGATTCCAGGGACATTTCTGCAGCCAAGAGCCACTTTGCTAGGCGACAACAGGTGGCAGTGAGGGAACTGAGGCCTACACACTCCAGGCGGAGGAAGAGATAGCACCGGTGGCCAAGGAATGCTGGGAAGGAGCCTGTGTGGAGCCAGGAGGAGAGGGGCAGCCCAGAGCTGGGGAATCCACCTGCTGGGATGGCACACGCTCTGGCCTCCTCGTGCAAGTGAGGGAACTTCCTTCCAGGCAGCTCGTGCCCTCACACGGCCCGGGGAAAGCCTTCAGCCACGTCCCCCCGCCGGCCCCAGGCCCACCACGCCGCTGGAAGGAACCGCATGAGGAATGTGCTAACCTGGAGGCCACGTCCCGAGAGGTTTCCTGCCTGTTGGCTACAAGCCAGAATCGATGCGCAGCGGTGGACCCTAGACCCAAGCCAGCCCTGGAGGCTGGACGGGTCCACCTAAGGGCTGGTGTCCTGGGTGGCCCCCGTCTGACCCCTCCAGCTCTGCCTCCCCAGAGTCCTCACACCCTCATACCCTCGGGACACTCCTGGGGAGAATGGCCTGTTCTGCTTCACCTGCCTGTATATAACTTATTTGCTCTAAGAACTTTGAGAATTCCACTTATTTATTTTAATGTATTTTTTTAGACTCAATTATTTACCTGCGAACTTGTGTTTGTAATAAAGCATGAAATGGTACCCTGGTATTTTGTCTTGGCTGAAGCAGAGGTGGGAGGCACCTTGCAGGACGGGGCTGCTTAGAAGTTAGGGGGACCCAAGAAGGAGAGGGAAGGGGTCCGGGGCAGGTGGCCGGAGCCCTGCATTCCACTCCCCAAGCTCCCGCTGGGCACTTCTGGCCGCTATCCCACCCTCTCTAGGCTTTTGCCTGTCATGTGCCTGGACAGCCACTTGTGGCTTTGACATCTAGGATTCCTCTGTTCCCAACAGGCCAGTCCCTACGGCCAGGCCTTTCCCAAGAGTGTGTTTGGAAGGAGTCGAGGCTACGAGAATACCAAGACCCCCTTCTTCCCCAGCTGCCCTGTGCCACCAGGAACTGTTGTGAGGCCCAGAGCCAATCTGTCCAGCGAGGGCTGGGGCCAGATGGTCCCAAGACTGTGTACTGCCCTCGTGGCCAGTGATGGGTGCTATGGTGGAGCCACAGCCTGACCCCGGTCTCATCCCTCTCCTTGGACCTTGCTCACTTCCTTGACTGAAGAAGCCCAAGGCTCTAGGATTGCTGCCAGGGCCCAAGAAGCGGCCCACCTGAGTTCCAGGGATAGCCAGCAGCCACGATCACCCCTGCTGGCAGTTCCTGGACCCACAGCCTCCATTTCTGCCAAATCCTCCTGTGACAAGCTGTTCCCTCTTCTCCCGGCTGGCTTGTGCTGGGAGTGGCAGGTGGCCTGAGCTGGCTGTTGAAAAATAATTATTTACACACTGCTCTAATCCTGCCTCGTCCGTGAAGCCAGCCCTGACCCCTTCGTGGAAGGGTAACATGCTGACACATAGTGAAATCCTACTGTATACTGGCACTTTACCTGTGTTAACTCATTTCTGCCTCACAACAGCCCCATGACATAGGTACTTTGATTATCTCCATTTCAAAGGTGACAAAATTGAGGCACAGAGAGAAGGCAACTGACTGGCCCAAGGTCACACAGTGAGTAAGTGGTGGTATCCGGATTTGAACCCAGAGTCTACGGTACAAATGTGTGTCTGCGTGTCATAAATATTATTGGCTGAATTCGTGGATCAGCACTGCGGTGTGACCCGAAACAAATCGCTTTCTGGGCCTCAGTGTTTTTCAATCTATAAAGTGAGAGGCGATGGTCCCAACCTTGTAGGGCAGGTAGGAACACTGAACAGACTGCTGGGCTCAGCCCCCGGGGCGTGATAGGAGGCAGAGACTGCTTGTCAGGGTCATCAAAGGGGTTTTGTAATGAGCAGGACAGCCCCAGGGCTGGAGGACCGCAGTTGGGGCAGCTGGGGTGACAAGGGGTGGTCAGAGAAAGAATCCTGGACAAAGGGGCTACTCCTGTAGCTTCCAAAGATGAGTAAGACTCAAATAAATAGAAAAATGCAGGAAGGAACTCCAGACAGAGGGAACAGGGAAAGTGAAGGTATGGCAGTAAGAGTGACAAAGGAGGTTCCCACGGAGGACCCCTATGTGGCTGGAGCCCAGTGAATGGGGAAGCAAGTTCACCACCCCACCCCACCCCCTGCCCTCGGAGGTCCACGGTGCATTCTAGGTGGTGAGGCTTGGGGTAAGGGAGCCCAGGAGCAGGCAACACCTCTCAAATCTCAGCAGAGCCTGATGTCAGAAGACTCTCCCTCCCTAGCAGCCCAGAATTCCATGCAAAATGGCTCCCTGCCTCCTGGGAGACCCAAAGCCAATAGCCAGTGGCCAGGCTGGGCAGCTGAGTGGGGCAACCCCAGGATGGCGGGTATGATGGAAGCCTGGCAGAAGGATGACGAGATCCTGACCAAGGGTGTGTCAGAGGCCCGGGGAAGCAGGCATTCCCTGCCCTTGGCACAGGCCCCTGTGGCCCTGGCCAGAGTTCAGAGATCAGAAACTCAAATGATTAAGTCACAGAGATGATTAAAGGGAGGGGAGGAGGCCCAGGAGGCAGGAAAAGGCAAGGTGACAACGCAGTCCCTTGGGTCCTGATTCCTGGGGAAGGAGGGCCTCCTGCACTTTGGGGGGTCCTACTGTGGCCTTCCTCGGTCATACCTCTCTCCACAGGGCAAGAAGTGTGTGTGCCCCTAGTCTGCACCTGCTACTAGGCCGCATTGCGGGGAGCTGGGGCCCCAGAAGCATGGGGGGAGGTGAGACAGTGTGTGGAAGGAGCAGAGGAAAATCTGTGAGGGGCGGCTGCCAGGTCAAAGGAAACCCTGAGAAGCAAGATGTCAGCGTTTTGGGGAGTCTGTCTGGATTTTATAGGACAACATCTCCCCTTTTCCTGCCTTTTTCTGTCTTTTCCATAAATACTTAACTGGTTTTGTCAAGGCTTTTTGAGTCCAATCTATGTTCCTTTGGCTAGAACACCAGGCAGAGAAAGGCCAGAAGGGGGCACAGAATGACCCAGATTTACTCAGGTACCATGCACAGACAGAAGCTGAGGCAGAGGGGAGTTTGGTCCCATGTTCAAGACCATGCAGCCTGATATATGCCCAGGCTGTAGACTGGGTCTTCTGTCCTTGGGCTGCCTCTCCTCACACCCCTCACTCAGGAAAGAACCCCAAGGAATGAGTCTCTCTCTCTCTCTCTCTCTCTCTCTCTCTCTCTCTGATTAAAAATGGAGACCAGGTTGCCGGGTTTCAGAAATGGCATCTACTTATGAATAATTCCCTCTCAGGAGACGCCTGTGAGCGAGACAGACACAGCTTCTGGCCCCACAGGCCAAGAGGAGAGCCCTCCCAAAAAACCACTATTAGGGGCACCGGGGTGGCTCAGTTGGTTAAGTGTCCGACTTCAGCTCAGGTCATGATCTCACGGTTCCTGAATTCTAGCCCCGTGTCCGGCTCCATGCTGATAGCCCCGAGCCTGGAGCCTGCTTCGGATTCCGTGTCTCCTTCTCTCTGCCCCTCCCCTGCTTGCACCCTCTCTTTCTCAAAATTAAACGTTTAAAAAAATTAAAATAAAGTTTAAAAAAATACTATTAAGTATTAAGATAAAATAATAATAATAATAATAATAGTTAGCATTTACTGAGCACTCACTAGGTGCTCTCTGCATATGAATTCCTTGGTTCTTTACCGCAACCTATGCAGCAGGTTCGACAATTATTATTCCCATTTTATAGAAGGGGTAACCGAGGAATTGAGTAACTTGCTCAAAGGCACATTGCTACTATATGGCTGAGCTGGGATGTAAGCCTCAGGCTCTAAACTTCTATGCCTTCCTGCCTCTCTGATAGGACATCCATACTGTGAAAAGAGTTCCGGGCATGAGGGAGCCCAGGGTGCTTCCTGAAGGAGGTGACGTCTAGGCCAAGCTCAAGAGAATCAGTCAAGTGAAGGAGAGCAGACAAGAGTGTTCCAGGCGGACGGAGCAGCAGAGGTGAAGCCTCGGCAGGGAAGGGAGCTATTCTCGGGAGCTCCCTCTCAGGAAGCAAAAGAAGAAGGGGGCATAGGGAGGCCTGGAGAGGGGGAAGAAGGAAGGCGTAGCGCCATCTTGAACCCCAGGTCAAGCCTGAGCACCTGGCATGGGAGAAGGGGCTCCAGACAGAGAGGTCTACAGCAGCGGTCACTCTGCGTCACAGCCTCAGGCAGTGAGTCCCAGGAGAGTATGACTGTGCCTGAAATGCCCTCCACTTGTTCCTCATGCCTTTGGATCAGACCGCACTTGCACTCAAGGGCCTCGCAGCCTGGCAGGGAAGACAGACAAGGCCAAGCGAAGGGACAGGAGGTGGGATCCGTTATGGAGTGCCCTTCCAGCTGGTTTGGTAGTGGGGGAGAGGGGGTAAGGTTTGCACAAGCTGGAACGAGGGAAAGGGCATCGTGGCTGGGGGGAAGGGCATGAGGTGTGTCTGGCCAGAGCTTGGAAGACTCTGAAGAAAGGCAGCCGGCCTGATCAGCAGGGGCCAGGCTGGGAATGGCATCCAATGCCAGGAATTTGAACTTGAGTGATGGGAACCAGCAAAGGTGGCCAAGCAGGGGAGAGCGAGGGCAGGAGCTGCCCTTGGGCTGCCGGCTTGTCGTTGTCCCCTCCTTAGCCACTGCTTCCAGCTCACCAGGGCCCTCCCAGCCCTCTCAGGGGAAAGCAGACTGCGGGCCTCGCCTGCCAGGGACCCGAGCCAAGAGCCCTCAGCAGCTCGGAAGGGGGCCGTGTGCAGGCCCGCCCCAGGAGCCCTGAAGAGGAATGTGGCCTAATTAATTCTCCAAAGCTCAGAGGGCCTCGCCTTGTGGGAGCAGCTGCCAGGACAGGCCTGCCAGGCCGCCACTGGCCCAGCCTGTCGATCACTCAGTGCCGAAGAGAGTGAGGGGGACAGCCGGCAGGGAGCTGGGAGACAGGGGCTTGGGGGGCTAGCCCCTTGCCTCCAGGCACACACGTGTCCTCCGACCCCTTCACAGCTGAACACTGCAATGATGGTAATAGTAACAGCCAATAGGCCTTGAGGGCTCCCGGTGTGGCAGCCCCAGTGCTAAGCAAGTCGTAGGCACTCTCATCCAAGCACGACAAGGACCGGTGAGGTGGGGCCTGTTAGCGCCATTTTGCCGATGAGCTAACCGAGACTCAGAGGGGCAAACTTTCCTGCCCAGGATCCCGCATTCAGAGAAACTGGGATTTGGACTCAGGTAGTCTGGGTCCCAAGAGCACGTTGTCATAACCACGGTGCTGGGCTGGCTCAGCGGGGGAAATCAAGGCTCCAGGGAGGGAGGGAGGATTCCTTTCCCAAGGACAGCTTACTAAAAAGGGGCCTGCAGAAGGAAAGGCCACACCCCTGGTCTCTGCCTCAGTAGCCTCCCCCAGAAGTTTCCCTATGGGACCACCAGGGACGCACAGCTCACTGCTCCAGGCAGGTGGGGCTGGAACATGTGATCCTGTCTCCCCAGAATCTCTAGCCATTTGGTGCCAGATCTACCACTTGGCCCTGTCCCAGAGGCACTGTAATAGCACCGTGCACTCTGAGACTCCTCCCAGGGACACCATTCCCCTCACAGGTAGGAGACAGAGGCTGAGGGGGTCTCAGTGGGTC